TTTATTATTTCTAATAGCTATACCACGTATTGTGATTTTAAAATTACTATTGCAAAATTAATTGTAGTAAATTTTTTTATTTATGCACTACTTTTCTGATTTTGGTTTAACGAAAAATGATAGGAAAAGTTAAAAATAATTGTCTCAAATTTATATAAAAAGAGCAGTATGTAATATTTACCTGATATGAATTAAATTTTTTATCTTATTTATCTGATAAGCTACAGTGTCCTTTTGTCGATTCCATACTAAACAACATCTGTTTTTTTCTGCTTTTAAGAGAAATTTTTTTTGGAAATATAATTTGTTAAGTCCTCAGTTTTCCCTAAAGTTGACTATCCAAGATAGATTGATTTTAAATATAATTAAGAAATTATAGTTTTTTCATTTCTATTTAAATGACCAATTAGCCCGGTAATAAATTGTTATTAAATCCTTAGAAATATATTTTTTGTAAATTTTAAAATTATTAATGTTTTTTTCAATACATTTTGAATTTAAAAAAAAATTATATAAATTTAAAAAATAACGAATTAAACTTTCTACTATTTCTAGTGCTGGTTAATCAACTGTTTCATTATTTTCATTAAAAACTAGAAATGCATAAATTATAAAATATAACAATTTTTTTAAATATTGTTTTGAAACCATTTTCAATAGAAAACAAAAACAATATTAATTATTAAATTATTTGCTCGTATAATGATATTAATTAATAATAATATCGATAATTATTGAAATGCATAACACTTGACATTTAGGTTAGTATTTTATTGATATAAAAATATCGCCGCAAAAGCAGGTTATCGACAACAATTATACAACACAAAATTAAGTTTATATAATTAACATATAAAACATATGCAAAATGAAATCTAAAAATATAGTTTTGTTTTAAATAAATTAAGCTGCTTTGTTTTTATAAATCATTTGACAACCAAAGGCAGTCTTGGGCTATGCCTTAAAATCTTGTCAAGAAATTTGCATAAATTCGTTACTGGCGCATGCTGTTAATACCACGCCAATGTTATGCCATATCGAGTTAGCCAGATTTAGTTTATAACTTCGTTGTGTATTCATATATACTCGTATGTGTGCTCACATGTCATATATTATAAATCCAAGTTAGGTTAGCAACTAGGTGAGATATCTTCTTTGATTAATGTCAAATTTTTATTTGATTTATTAAAATTTCTGGCAATTTTCGACTGCGTTTCGCTCTGGGTGTGCGGTATGTGTGAGTAATTTCCAAAAACTTGCGTGGAACTTTACAAGGCTATAGTATTTCGTAGATGATTTCTTGGAATGCATTAGTTAACAAAAGGTTAGGTACTAGGAGCGTATCAATAACAAAAGTCGAGCAATAGGTTTTGAAGAATTTTTTAGATATTTATAGGTTGGAATTTTTGTATGAGTAATTCTAATTTTAATTCAAATATGCATATGCATTTATAGGGTTTTATAGAAAATACCCTGAAATTGCTTAGTTTAAGAATGTTCTAAAAAAAGTGTATAAAAAGTGTATAAAAAAAATACAATAGTTAAAAATTTATGTAGCTTAAAGCACTAATAATATAGATAAATGTTTTGCAGCAATTAAAAAGCGATTTTCAAAAAAACACCTTTAACCTTTGTATGTAAAAAGTATAAAAAGTCCTTTGTATAAAAAGGAGACTGAATGAAGGTAAAAATAGGTTGAATGCATTTGGGTTAAGTTTAGAGAACAAATATGTATTTATTTATCTTAGAGCACAGAGAAAGAAAGAGAAAACGAATGGTTAAGATAATGAGAAAAAAAAAGGAAAAGAAGGACTAGTGGCAATGAAATCAAAGAGTATAACACCCTTTGTTTGCAATACTCTTTGATAGAATAAAGAAATTAACTAAGACCTAACGTCTGTATTAGACCAAGTCCAAGAATGACGATGTGTAGTTACTATATAGATTTTTTACAGTATTGATATATGAATACTGTATATCAAATATATATGAATATTACATAATATACATTGGTTTCGGTCTTGCCCTTTTTTTCAATACATATATTCATATAATAATTTTAACTTAATATGATTAAATGTTATAAAATTTTAAATTATAATAAAAAACTTATGGGGACTGCCTGTTAGAAACAATTTACAATTTTTCTAATTATATATTGAACAATTTTAAATTATTATTATACATTAAATTGAACATTATTATACATTAAATTGAACATTAAATTATTATTATACATATACCTAAAAAGATAAACTAAGAAGAATAAAGAATGTAAAAGATATACTGATTTCGAATTAATGTTATAAAACCTTATTATAGGACTAAAGGTGAGAGTTCAATTGTAGAATCAAGAGGATGATACGTTGAACCAAATTGAAATAAACTATAACACTAGTAAATTAGAGCTACATTAATTTTATATATAACCCTTCGTTTAGATGAATACATCTTTATCTATTGTTTTATATCAACTGTAGCTTTTTAATAGACTAGTCATAAATGCTTCAAGAATTTATTCAAGAATTCATGCTTCAATTAAGTAGATAGAAATACATATACATATGGATAAATATATACATATACGAGAAGTGTACGGTTGGATATTATAATCAATATTTCATAGGTATATGTGTTTATATATTATTATTATGATAGGTATATAATACATTAGATTAAGGCTTATAACAAAAAATCGATTGATCGATTATATCGATTCAATATGAAGTATTTTTTATTCTGTTTTGAGATAGTCTTTTTATTATTGTTTATAATGGAATATTGAACTAATGTTTTATTTCAATACATGAAATTGCATCTATGGTTAACATCAGTTCTAAATAGTATCACAATAATCAACAATCTTTCCCACTCTAATGTAACTGCTATACATCGTCGTTATTAGGTGTTCACTTAGGCCTTTTAAATAGGCTAAATTTCATATCGGAATTTCAGAGCACTTATAAGGGAGTAGGGCAAGAAGACTATATTTCGTAGCAAGAGACCATTTTGAGTTATTACAACATTGATTATTGGACTTTTTAGCGTAAGAAGCATTTAGTAAAAAATCTTAATAAAAAATTATTAGTTATATGTTATTTTTAATTAACAATATAGATGTTTTTTTATTATTATTACAAGGACAGTATATTTTTATTATTCAACAATTTTTTTAATTTATTAAAAGTGAAAAGCTTTTCAATCAGTATGAAGCATGTTGATGGATTCTTCTACTGAATTCTAATGGAAGCAATTATTTTTACAAGAATAAAACACATCGGTGGTGCTTTCTAAATATTTTAATACTTGTAATCCACTCGTATCGTAATATTATAAAAGTAATATTATATAGATTTGTTGACATTAAAAAACAAATTTCTTAAATTTCGTGTAGTTAAAATTTTTGTTTCTTTCGATGCAGACAACTTGTTGATAACTTTAAAGACATCACGAAAAAGTATTCAACAAAAAACTCTAAAAATTTTTGAAAATCATTGGTAAAAGGCTGTAATTATTTAAATTACTGAACAGGAAATGTTACGCCTGTTCCATATTTTTTTTTTTTGTTTATAAATTTTTTTTTTGGTAGTAAGACAACATAAATTAAAAAAATTGAAAAGAAAGCGGCACAATTTCGAAAAAAAAAAATAAATTTTCATAATTAAAAATCTATAAATGTATATTGAGTTCTTTTTTATCTTATTACCATTTATGATATTTTAATGATTTATTAATCATACTAGAACTATAAGAACACATTTCAGACACGCCCTCAATTCGAAAAGCTTTGTTCAAACACAAACCAAAAACAGCATTAGAAGCAGATAAGGAAGAAACGTTAGTTTCCAATTTATTTCAATCTATAAGATTGAACCACAAGTGTAAGCCATTTAAGAAGATACAAAAAGAAATCATTTAGAAAAGTTTCCACGAATGAGCCAAAGAGATTCACTCTTACAAATTAAGGGCAAAAATGTAAATACTAATTCATGCATATAAGCCAAAAAAATAAAAGATATATACATATGTGTAAAGAAAACCAAAAAAAAAATGTATCTTTACCAAGTGATTGAGTAAAGATTAAAATCATTTGATTGAAAATTGAGCTTAGAACTTCTCTACAATGGAATCTTTTGTAGTTTTCTTGCTGTTATTTTAAAGAATTTAAAATTTCTTGTTTCTGTTTTGTTGCTTACCCTCACTATTGGCAGCATCCAATTTGTTGCTATTGTCAGTTGAGTTTATTGCTGCTTCTGCTGGTGCTGCTGCTGGAGCTGGAGCTGCCGCTGTTGTTGTTGCTGTTGGTAATAATTCAGACGATTCCGTTGTTGTAGAAGTCGTTGAACTATCAACACCGCCAATTGTTGTCTCAGCCAAGTTAACAGCACTGCTGCTGCTTGTATTGTGCAATGGATCTGGAGTTGGCGTTACTTCTGCGTTGGTATTTGTCGTGCTACTGCTGTTTGTGGTGCTAGTAGTGCTACCTTCATTCGTTGTATCTATTGTTGGCGTTGTTGTTACTATTTTGGCTATATCATCAAAATTTGCATCATGGTCGGGAGTAACTGGATCCGTCTCAGCCGCAGTACGTGCGATTTTAAAGCCAAATAAAAGTAATGCACAAATTGTGGCTATGAGAAATATTGTTGATTTCCTTCTTCTATTGTACTGCATTTTTATTATATATTTTTTGTATATTGGGTTTATGTATGTATATTTTTTAAATAATATTTCTATACAATATTTTTTAACACAATTTATTTTTATTTTTTTGTTTTGTCGGACGTAATTTATTACTTCACGCGTTTTTCGAATTGATTTCTCGATTTATTTCACTTAAGAAACTTTTGCAGTATGTAAATTATTTTCTATTTGAAATTTTGGGTCAAATATTTTGTTACACTTTAACTTTCCTTATATATTATGAGTATTGTTAATATTTTCATTTACTTTTTGGAACACATTTCACATTTTTTCAAAAAGAAATTCACTGAAAATTTATTAAGATTTTTTATTAAATTATTAAAATTGAAGTACACTAATTATTTATTAATATATAATATATTATAATATATGTTTTTCTCATTACTCTCTCTTTGCACTCTTTTACTGTTGCAATATTTGCTATTATATTTGTTGTCTGAATTGTATATTAGATTTATGATTCATATATATATAAAATTATGATATTATTTTATAATATCTATCATAGCAAATAATGATATTAAATACATTTTTTATACTTATGCCATGTATGTTTAACATGCAGCACTATATATATATATATGATCTATATATACATATACATATGATAATAATTTTTTAAAAATCATATTTTTAGATTTATTTTGTTTACTAATATCTTTAATGTTTATTTTTAATTTTTGGTTTGAAAGATCGGTATGACCCCACAAAAATATTTAAAAATTTTTATTCTGGTAATACATAATAAATAATATATGAGAAAACTAACTTGTTTAATATTTTATTTATTATTATTTATAATAATTGTTTAATTTTTTAACGAAATAAGGTTTTAAATTTACATTTTAACATGTATATTTAATATTTATAAAAAATATGCAGGCCCTAAATTTAATATTATAAGTTTAAAATTAAATTTTAAAAATATATTGTAATTTTATATAATATTGTGTATTTTTTACATATTAATTTTTGCCCATTTTCTACATAAACAGCGTTTTCTTAAACAAATTATATACATATTAATTATATATACAGTAAATATAAAATTTGTTTTTTTAATTAAATCGATTTAAATTAATAATTATTAAATAAAACTCAACTCAATTAAGGCTCACTCAAATTAATTAAATTATTAATTTATAGCATAAAAGTAATTTTTTTCTATATAACACTTATTCATATATTACTAAAATATTACTATAATTGAAAATAAATATTTAAAAAATCAAAATTTAAATTTTTTGTAAATTTTCCTTAAAAAAAAGAAAAACAAATTTTTAAATTTAAGAAAATTTAAAAACTAATTTTGAAATTGTATATTCAATATAATATAATATATAACATATATTTAATTTTAGTTAAAAAAATTCCAACAAAAGAATTTTATTTTGAATTTAAAATACTTAATTTTAATTAAACAAATTTTTTGTTAATATAAAATATTATTTGGTTTGTTTAAAAAATTATTTTAAATATAAAATAAGTTTAACACATAAAAATAAATGACAAAAAAATTATTAATTATTATTATATTTTAATATATTAATTATATTATTAAATATATTATATTAATAATTAATTTGTGTTGAAATTTTTTTATAGTTTTTATGAGTTAAATAAACGATCCAAGCCCGGCAAAAATTAAGAAACTTATTGATAAAATTGGTCGTATTAATAATTAAATTTAAAATAGTAAATAAAATGAAATATACATAAATTTTGAAAAAACTTAAAATATTTTTAAATTATAGTAAATTTTAGCAATATTCATTTCAAAATTTTATTTTAAAAATTTCTTTTTCTATTGAAAATATACTTGATGCCCAAAATATATATCGTATGTATGTTTTTATTACTGAATATTTTTATAGATTTTATTTTTAATATTAGAAATTCATGATATATTTTGAAGATGTGAGTTAAGATATCTTTGAGTTTTTACATATCTTTAGAATTTATCTTAAATTACGATATATACGAATATACGACTATGTATGCATATATCAATTGAAAGCTTAATAAGAGAGAGAACTGTAGCTGACACAAAATTTTCATTAAGTAAATTTATTTACTTAATTTTCAAGACAAATTTTGGCTTATTCTCAGGACATATGTATGTCAGATTTTCATTTTGAATTTATATTTTGGAAATAGAAACACTAAAGCTATAATGGGTAGAATATTTTTTCCATTATTTTAAAAAAATATTTTTTCTTGAGGTCTGTCGTAAACGTGAAACTCTTTTAACATTGCATTTAATATATACATGACAGTATATATTACTATCGTTGAAAACGTAACTAATTGAAAAATGTTTAATCCAAAATTTTATAATATTGTGACTTTTACAATAGGCTTGAAGACATTTTGTTGTAAGCATGTAAAAGCCGGTATGTTTCTCATTCCTGTTAATATCGTTAACAGAATATACATTTTTTTCTATTATAGATTGAATGCTCTTATCTTATGTTGTCTCACACAATAAATATTTATAATAATTTATAATTTCTTTATGTCGGTAAATTAAATTAGATGGTATTGCGTCTTTAATAATTTCATTGACAGAAATTTTTGTAAATAAAATGAACTCTTCAAATTGACATATTATTTAATTATTATTCAGTTATAATACTGAACTTAATTTAAATGACTTAACTCCTTTCACACTGTTATTTAATTATATTATATCACTTTGTAAATTGACATTTTGTGCACAACTGTATTCACACTATGATTAAATCAATTTTGTTGGATGATTATTTTAATAATTATATAGGAATTAAATATAATTTTATAAAAAAAACATTTTTCACTCATTCATAAAACCTTCAAATGAATAAATTTTGATTGTAAATCTTTAACAGACTATATATTATATATTAATAAATTGTTTGTGAATATTGTTAATATTTACTCTTGGTTAATATTGGTTTATTGGTTTAATTCGCAATTTTACATAAAAATCTAAGAAAGTATTGCCTATGAGATAAAACTTAAATTATATATAGGTAAGGCAGTATTTCTGAGAAATTATTTTAATTTCAGAAAATTAAAACAATCTTTTTTGACATTTATACTGTATACAAAAAATAACTTAATTTTTACACAATTTTTCTTGAAATGGCAGTAATTTAAATTGAAGTAATTTCGAGTGCTGGTCTAAACACCATATAAATCCATCACTTCAATTATATACAATCCTATTAATACGGTATATAAAGCTATTTATTTAGTTATAGATTAATGTAAATTTAATTTCAGAAAATTAAAACAATATTTTTTGACATTTATGCGGTGAAGAGAAATTAACTCTATTTTTACTCAATTTTTCTTGAAATGGCAGTAATTTAAATTGAAGTAATTTCGAGTGCTCGTGTGAACACCATATGAGTCCTTCATTTCAATTATGTACAATCCCATGAATGCGGTATAATAACCTATTAAATCAGTATTAGATTAATGTGAAAATATATTTAGTCTAATTTAAAACTTGTTTATAATTTAATAATTCTGTTCCTTTACTGCATATTTCACAAAAGATTTTTTATATGAAAAACTAATTAATATAACATGATATTAGTCACAAGAGCCAATTAACCGAGTTCCATTAATAAGAGGCTATATGAATTAAGTATTTATCTATGTTTTGTTAAGAGAAAAAATTAAAAGCAAAATTATGTCAACTTGAGAAGCTGTTATAAAATAAGTTAAATAACAGTAGAAAAAATAATGTGTATTTATGTAGGCAAAAACGTTTACGGATGCCAATCATTACCCATATTGAAAAAAGATTATAAGTATTAGGTTAATTTATAGGAAACCACGAAGTAAGAAGCAAACAAAAAAGAAAAAATTGGCTTGAAAGAAACTAAATGAACTTAACCGGTTCTGCAGAAAATTACAAGAAAAAGATACACGAATTTAAGAAGAAGAAGAAATCATGTGTTTATTTGGTTAGTTTAAGTCAGGCCAGCTGCCGTTTGCGCAAACTCAGAAGTTCTTTTACAACAACAAGAAATTCCTGACTTAAAATAATTTTAAGTTCATAATTTTTATAAAAATTTTATGATGTCATTTACTATAAACATTTCACTTTTGTTCTTTTTTTTTAAAGATTGAAAAAATTTCTTTTTAAATAAATAGAAACTTGTTTCAAAAGAAAAAACTTGTTTTATTTTAAAAATAGTATAATGTATATTATTAAATATAATTTTTTTTTATTTATTAAATAAGTGCAATTTATATTATGCCTTTCGAACCGTTAGTTGTAGCACGATTTATTTATTTATTTTTTTTTTTGTAACGAATTAACATAAAAGTTTATTAAAGAAAATATTTCCACACAAATCCACAGAAATGGCATTAAAAATATCCCCACACATTATTTTTTTTTTTTTGTGTTTTTCAACTCACAACACACATTCAAAGAAATATTTTAAACAAAAAAAAACCAGATAAAAAATCACTTGACGGTTTTTTTTGGTTATCACGCCGAGTATTTCATTTACCGCTTACAACCGTCTGCATTAAAGCACGAATTCCATTGAACTGAAGTTTTTGGTTAAAATCGAGCGACGCGCTTTGGTAACACCACGATCAGTGAACGATCTTTCTGAAGCGGGATGTAGTCAAAATGTGCGCTGAGATTGTCTTTGCTTTTGCACAAACAATTTGTAGACTCCAAGCCAAATCATTACGCCGCTTCATTTACTCACCACGCTTTTAGCCGCGAATGCAATGTGCTCTCATTACATTTTGTTTTAAACCGCAATCAGCAGTCACGTAAGACACATATTTTTATTATAACACAAAAAAGACTCATTGCAATAACAAATATTTCTGCTATACAAGTAGACTGAAGCATGTATAGTATGTACAATGACTAACCAACAAACAGCAGCCAGCCAGCGTTTGGTAAAGCAAATCAAGGCAAAGACAAAAAACTAGTTTACCTGTGCTCTTGCAAC